TATATATATATACATTTGACAAGATCAAAAAAGGCCGAAAGGAAAGAGGAGTAAAATAATTATCGAATAATATATTATTAACTTAATTAATATTATTATTAAGTCAGGACTACAATTATCTTTAACTCTATTAACGGTAAAGATATGAATGAATGAATGGATCGTGACATGTTGACCATTATTAAATATAATATACACGTCATTCAATCATCGTTGTAATTACGCGAGGTGGAAAAGGCGTACCATGAATTTGTCCGTTCGTAAATCGCACGACGCTTGTAATTAATGGCGACGCGATAAAGAGATAAATACGCGCGGTCTCTAAATCTTCCATCACGGAGGGAATGAATTCGGCAGATAATCCTATATCGTCATCAAAAACATTTATGCGCTTAACGTTTAATTCAATTTTCTTATGCAACATATCATTACAACATTTATCCCTCTCGCATGTATAAACCGGAGGTTATAAATAAATTCCAGTAAAATAACTTTAATCGCGCCTGATGGAAAGTATTATGAGAAGTAATACTTGAAATTTGTTATTAATAATTCAAAACATAAATTATATTCTCGTTAAACATATGTGCATCCATTTGAATGATAAACATGATACAAACATCTATATATAAATAAAAAATTCGACATAAAAAATATTATTAATTAAATTGAAATTCAAAACAGTAAAACACATGTTTAGAATTGCATATTTTTATTATTTATCTATTAGTTGTATTATTGTTATTTTATTATAGCAGTTAAAAGTAGAAGTTTTTAAATTGAAAAGTATTTTAAATTTTAGATAATTCAATTAATTCGTTCTCCGTTGAATCGATTAAATCATTTCTGACACTTAACAGCAAAACCTGCGCGTGTAATGCCTTCATAAAGAAAGATCTAATCGAAAGATTAACGTCTCCCAGACCATGACCGGGGCCTGTTCACGTTACCTGTGATCTCTGAGATGATCTTGCCGTCGGAAAGCTTTGCCACATATGTCACACGAATACGGCCGCTCATCGGTGTGCGTCCTCTCGTGGATCAACAGATTGTAGCTCTTTGTGAATTGTCGGCTGCAGAACTTACAAATGAACTGTTTCTTGGGCCGGGACGTACGGCAAGTCCTTGGTACACTCGAGTCCACCGCGATCGAAGCGTGTTGCGCGGACGAGGAGGAGGACGACGAGGTGGACGAGGCCGAGGAGCAGCCTGAGGAAGTCGTCGACGACGCGAAGGACGACGAAGGTGCGGTCAAGGATGACGATCGTGAGACCGTCGTCACCGACGTGCTCGCACGATTCCCCTCGGATATTCGACGTAGAAGGAGCTCGTGGTTAGCGGAAGAGCCGGCCGTCCCGGTCGTCTCGCTCAGCAGGACCTCCTCTTCCTCCGCGAGAAGCGCCAGATCCTCCTCGGTGTCGGTCACGAAATCCAGCCGTGCCTCGTCGTCCTCGCCGATCGCCGAGGCGGCCGATCGGAGCAGCTGATCGGCCGTCAGATGATCGTTCTTGACGATCGTCGAGCTCAGGGCCGCGTCGACATTCGCGTTCAACGAACATCTCTGATTGCCGAGGACGGTCGTGGTTGCGCTTGAGGTTTGCGCGACACCGGAAGTCGCGCCGCTCGCATGGAGACGATGAAGTGTCAGATACGTTTCTAGTGCTTGCAGATTAAAAGCCGCCGCGGCGACGTGTCCCGGCGGTAAGAGCGCTGCTCGCTGCAGGGCAGTGAGAAGAGCGTCTTGAAGCCGCAGGGCGACGCTCTGGAACGCCAGATTGGGTAATTCGGAATTTACAGTAACATCGGCCTCGCGTGGGTCCGCCGCGATCGTGACCGACGACGAAGTCAACGACGAGGACGAGGTGGACGGCACCATTACGAGTCTCCGTTGTTCCTGCTCCGATTCCTGATGCTGTTCCTCCTCCTGCTGCTGCATCCTCCACCGTCGTTTGAATCGTCCCGGATTAGCCTCTGGAACGCGCGCCTCCCCTGTCCCGCCGGTATCATTGGCAAGGCGATCGGCAGTTCCTGACTTGTCTCGACTGATCCCGATGGACGTTGCAACGTGAAGTAGATTCGTGTGCCGGTGAACCTCCGATACTCCGGTAGTCTTACGTGCGATTCGCTCCTGCACGACGTTGCCGAGCTCCGTCGCGAGTTCACATGTTCTCGTCGGTCAGGTGTCAATTCCCGAAAGGACCGTTCCCGTTGGATACGACGTTCAAACGCGAAAACGGGAAAGAGGATACACACACACGATGCTGGCGGTGCAAAGGCGCCCCGAAGACTGCTCCTACCTGCCGCTGCTGGGTACTGCTGGTGGAGCCACCTGGTGGCAGGTATCCGAGTCAAAATGGGCCTGTCCGCGGGGAACGGGCCCCGGATTCAGGAGAGAGAGCCGTGCCACAGCTGGCCCGCGCGATCGCCGGCTCGCCGCGCCGTTTCGACGATGCGAGCCCGACCGCGGGTTCGTGGAGCCGCACGATCCGACGTGGGCCGCGGCGGCTTGCGTGCCGCGGCGACGAACGTTGTGAGTGCATACACGCGGGTCGCACGCGCGCGCGAGCGCGCGTGTGCATATGCGGGGGGGGGGGTATCCGGAAATGTGAATCGCGATCGCGATCGCATTCGCGGGTCAACAGCTGCTTAACCCGCCTGTATTTCCTTCAACGCACGTCTCCCGTCTTGTATTCGAGGACGACAAATATTTCCTATTTATACTATTAGAAATCAGCTCAGTTGCATAAGACGATAGTTCGCGACATGTTAAAGGCACATTTATATATTAAAAAAATTATATCTAATGTAGGTGTTAAATTTAGTGTTTAAATGTTAATTGATATTGAAAATTATTTTTATATTAAAGCGTAAAGATATTGTATATCTTTAAATGTGTACTTCAATATACTTCTAATTTATATATTTTGGAAAATTATCCGCCCACAAAGATACCAATTAAAAATAAAATTTTAACTAGTTTTTTATACACAAAAGTAATTGCGTCTGAATCAAAGCACGTAACAAAAGTAGTTTAACAATTTTTAAATGTAAAGAAGATTTTTTTAATTAACAAATTATTATCAATTTGTCATATAAATTCACTTATCTTTACATTGCTTTAATATTTACAAATTTCTAATATTGCATATATTATAATATATGTTTCACATTCAAAAATAATGTTTTTAGGTTACAAGAATAGTACTAAAAGGGAAGAATAGTACTAAATATTTATGAGACGCTTCGTGATTGCAAAGATTTTTGACCCAGTCGGACAAACGACCGATCAATGTTTGCGATTGACTTATGTTGTTAATATCTCAATGGACGCCGTGTGGATGTGAGATAAAACTGAGTGAATAGTAATGCCGCGTCGAAAAAAAGCATCTCTCCCGCGGTACCGCGCGATGCCGCAGGTTCGTTCCGACTCGACTCAACTCGAACTCTCGGCAAAGCCGCAACAATTTACGACGGCAATTAATGCGCGCGAGTAAGCCGTGTATAGCGCCTATAGTTAGCTGCCTCTTCAGTGTCGGGGCGCACCGAAAGCAAGGGAGAAAGAGAGACATTCCGTACACGCGCTCTCGTACGCGCACACGAGAGAAGAAAAAAAGGGCGAGTAACCGGGCAAGGAGAAGAGAGAAAGAAAGGAAGGATGAGAAAGAGGGGGAGGGAAAGTACGATGGAGTACGATATAGAAGAAGAGGAGATCTCTCAAGGAAAGGTGAAAGAGAGACCATCGGAGTGGAAAAGGGTGCGGTAAGGGAAGACGCGAGAAGGAAGAGAGGAAAAGAGAGAGAGAGAGAGAGAGAGAGAGAGAGAGAGAGAGAGAAGGAGGGAAGAGAGAGAGAGA